CTCACTTTTTCAAAGATTTACCTTCAATTTGATTGGTTTTCGCGTGTGTGACTTAAGCGAACCGATAAGGTGTCATTCAAGTCTTCCTGTTTGCTTGATTGAAACGTGTTGTTCACGAAAGTCGCCTCGATAGATAAGATAGAGTTAATATACGTGGCTGGGGCATTTTTTTTTTTGGCTAAGCACCGTAGTTTTTTGTAAATTGACCTCCAATGTTGTCTTAAATTAAAGTCTTCAAAAGTGTCACGACAGGCCTTCGCTCGAGTGAAATTGAATTTCCGTAAAACTCTGAAAAATAAAGAGATCCGATCAAACAGATTGTGGTTTTAGTATACGTACATGAATGTCTTACAACACACAATAAATGAGCGAAATCCGTGTCTCAAGCAAAATCGACCGCACCGCTTTTCCAGAGATACTTTCTCAAGAGGGTCAGAGTAAATCCAAAAAAGATCATCTGCATCAAAAAAAAAACAAAACAAAAAAACAAAAAAAAAAAGGGAAAGAAAAGAAAAGAAAAACAGTAATGTGACAGTAATCGTTGTGTATTGTTACTTAATTTGTGTCAAGTAATTTGTCATGTTATTTGTATAAATTTAGTCGTGTGGATCAATATTTATTTCCACTCTTTAGAAGCAGCCTTGTCGTTTTTTAAATGCTTGTAAAGCTATGCATCGTTAAAGAAAATATTTTTCTTTATTTTGAGTTTATTCATAAGTTGTCGCTCTCTTTTTTGTACTTTTCCTACTCACGTTTCCTGCCGTAGGCATGCTAAGATTTTAAATAAATAATGAGCACAAATACGCTTGGCTTCGGGTTTCATCATAAAGGCTTACGATTATCATTCTACCAGTGTCAACTAAAAATTTCACCAATATGTCAAGTGGTTATTAACAGGCCTAATTTGTGGCTTAATTGACTGTTTCAGATCCAAACTGTCCGAATCTACGTGTCTGATTACAAACACCTGTAATTTGACAGGTCAAATGGGACAGTTAAGCGACCGATGAAAATTAAGCACTTTCCACCATCAACTACCCAGTGAATGCTACTTAGTCAAAACGAAGAAACGCCAATAGTAATATAGTAGTAATATAAAGCGGGTTCTAGCTCGTTTGAATTTCACAGAGAGACCCCTGTGAATTCAAATACATTTCACACAACTTTCAACCTGTGAAGTTCAAAGTCATTTACACTGGTTTTTAACATATTTTGAAATTTAACGAGTTACAATGTGAGAAATTCCAAAGTCATGTCTTTGCTTCATCATGCATCACTACAGCTGAATCAACCGCTCAACTTGTTGACTGTTCGAGTGAAGATTTTTCAAGTAGCATTATTGTATCTTCTCGCAAAGAAGTCGTCGTGCGCCTTGATTTGCTCTTCTGTAAAAAAATTCTTTATAAATGAGACGAAAGAAAACGATCTTCAACTATTTTTGTATAATTCCCCCACACGAATTCTACCTCTGTTACGGGAGTTGCCGGGAAGTTGATAAGTTTTTTTTCCATTGTACCAAAAAGACGAAGCATTGACACTTGAAACGTTGTAAACTTCTTTCATCCAATGACATTTGAAAATTTCCTATCTCCCAGAAGCTGTCGGGATTGTTTTTGAATCATAACTTCCTCCTCCATCAACATCAGTAAGATAAATCCAACATCTTCTCTTTTCTGTCTTGTTTCTTTTGCTCCACTAACCTTTAAATAGTCTGTTTCTCTTGGTAGCGAAATCCACCAGATTCCATTTCCAATCAGAGAATATTTTAATTTGTCATTTGTTCGATTCAAGGACCATCTGTTTTGATTCAAGACAGCAAAAAAAATAAAATTCATAGAGGCTATCATATAAGACTTTTGAACCCCTTTCATGGTCAGTAACAACATCTAATCAACTTTAAAACTAAATACAAAACTTGGTAGTTCGTATAGTGTGATCGTCCGGGTGAGTGTAGTTCTGAAAAGAATTGTTGTTGGTGACTGACGTTTCGACTACCTGTGCGGAAGTCATCTTCAGAGTCAAGTGAAGAGTAGTTGTCAGTCGATGATGTTATAAAGTCTGGTCTGTTGAACATGATTGGTCTGTTTAGCCGTGATGTGATTGGCTGGAAGACTCGTGTAGAGTTTGTTAACAGTCATTGGTCGGTTTCGATCCGTCTGTTGTTTGTCGGTCTGTTTGTCGGTTTGTTCACGTCGTTAATGAGTCGTTTGTAAGGTGCCAGTAGTTGTTGACATCTGTTGAGAGGCGTCTGTTCTAAGTTAGTAAACCAGCTTTCCAGAGTCAGTCGTTGAAAATAGTTTGTACTGTAGGTTAAGCATTTAGCAGAGTCCCAGTCGATTCTGGGATTAGTTTGTCGGTGATGTTCAGAAATGTGATTGTTTACATCGCCATTTCTAGTAGCTCGTTTGTGTTCAGTTAGTCCCGTGTTAAGGTTTCTACCAGTCTCACCAATGTAGGAGGCCTGGCAGTCGGAGCATTCGATCTTATAAATCGCTCCCTGTCTGTTGTTGGGTTCGTCTTTGTCTTTAACGTTGGTCAGCAAATGTCGTAAAGTAGTAATAGGCTTGTGAGCTACGCGAATGTTGTAAGGTTGTAGGATCCGCGCGATAGCCTCAGAAGTGCCTTTGATGTGGGGTATAGTAGCTGTAGTCGTGACAGATGTGGAGTCCCTGTTAGTTTCTGTAGTGTCGGTCGCCCTGTGAGTGTTTCGTCTAATGAAGTCAGTGTTGTAGTTGTTTTCGTCAAAAACACGGTCAAGGTACTTGTTTTCGTCAGATAAACTGTCCGGTGTGTTGCAAACAAGTTGCGCTCGTCTTGTCAATGTCTTGATAGTCGTAGCGTTGTGGGAAGTCGGGTTGTAGGATGATTCGTCAAGCAGTCTGTCGGTATGCGTCGGTTTTCTGTATACTGTTGTTCGTAGTTCGTTGTTGTTTCGGCCTACCAAACAGTCGAGAAAAGGAAGCTTGCCGTCTTCTTCGATCTCCCTGGTAAACTGAATGTCGGTGTTTTGTTCGTTAAGCTGAGTGTGAAAAGCGTCAATTTCGTCTTTGTGTACGGTGGTAAATGTGTCGCGCCCTTGCAACTTGCCGAAAAACCATACCGCTTTGGTTACGCTACGTAACGCCAATCACATCACGGCTAAACAGACCAATCATGTTCAACAGACCAGACTTTATAACATCATCGACTGACAACTACTCTTCACTTGACTCTGAAGATGACTTCCGCACAGGTTGTCGAAACGTCAGTCACCAACAACAGTTCCTTTCAGAACTACACTCACCCGGACGATCACACTATACGAACTACTGATACTCCTGGGTTCAAACCATTTACTTTAATACAAAACTTGATTGATGTTTGGATCAATTCCTGTAATGTACAAATATATTCTAGTTCTAGCTTGTCTTCGTTAAAATCAAACTTTCGCTGTCCAAGAAGCAAACCCTAGACAAATTTAGTTTTTCAGTGGCTGAAGTTGCTAAGATAGAGGACAGTCGGTTTAAAGACGTTTACACTGATATATGCAGTTATAGCAGAGGTATTTCCAGCCAAAGCAGCTGAAAGAGGAGAATTTAAACATGAACGTGAGTTGAAAAGTGACTTTTCCTTTTAATTTTCTACGCTTATCTGAGGAGTTTGACACGTTAGAGAAAAATCGGTGGAGTAAATAGTCATAAATGGCGACATCAAGAGAAGGTATAAGATATGCCAATTCGATTCTAGCACATTGCTTCAATGACTTCTGATCTCGCGTGTATCTAGATCTTAACTCGAAGTCGTTCACCTTCGTTTCATTCAATCTAAGCCGAAATCAACAACACGCGCCATAAAATGTCATATCAACCGATACTGACGTAATACACGACATCTGAAGAAGAAGATATTCTATATCCTGGACAATCCGTTCAAACCATCTGAAACATCAACGAAGGTCCTCAGCTGCTTGAAAATCCCGCCGACTAGCATGCACGTCGATCAATTTGCAAGTTGTGAGAATATCGTCCCTCCGTTCCACATTCCGTTAACTCTTCGACAGCCAGTCCTTCAGTGCCTAGGAATTTTAATAAGGTGAAGGGCTAGAAAATAAACTGACTGGATAAAATAAACTTGGTGTTGAACTTTCGATAGGGCGAAACCTCTATAAACCACAAAGAATCATGGGAGTTAAGCCTGAGGAAGAGAAGTTGTGTATTTGATTTTTGTTGACTTTTCACACTTTTTTACAACAATATGGCAGCTCAGCATCTACAAATTTTATTCTAAGGCCGTTATACGTTTTGTGCTTGTTCACCACACTGAGACAGGGGGAATCGATTAATTCAATTCAAACAGTGTCTAGCATCTAATTTTTCCTTACAGCGTCAACCTGAGGTATTAAATAAGATGATTCCAGTTGGTGATTTGTTTTAAATGTTCTGGACAACAGTGCTGAACAACTAAATGCTACCTCACAGCTATGCGATAGCGCAGAGTCGAGCGCTCGAGCGCTCGAGGTTAAAATTCAGCGAAGTTTACAGAAAAATTGGGCTGGCATATAAATCGGAGGTATTTTGTTTTCTTTGAAGGTATTTTCCTATTTCCAGTGTTTTTAAGAAGAAAACGAATTTTTGAAAACTTTAAGAGGGTGCACAAAGTTTTTAGAAGTTGTTCTGTAAAAGAAAAGCGGCAAGAAAACAACGCCCTGAAGCTATAGCTTAGAAAATCGAACATACTCACGACTCAAGATCCATTTTCCGCCAAAACCTAGTGCATACGCAAATGTTATTCAGTTTTGTCGTTCTGGACATCTGAGGGAATTCCGACCTCAATGTTCTTTACCCAGCGGTTCTGATTGCAAAATACGATTAAATACCTATTCTCTAAAGATGATTTTCCCCTATCTTCAAGCGCAAGGAAAATGAATGACGTACTCACTAAGCGCGAATGCTAGATACAGACGGTCTTTAGCAAAGACGCACGACCTAGTACAGAAACGACTCAGTCTTTATAATATAAGACTAGGCAGAGGCATTTCCTACAATTTCATCGCAACAAAACTGTTCTGCAAAAAGTTTGCATTGCACCTTTTTGTTACACAAGGCATCGTACAAAACTTTATATGTGGCATTTGAGCCTTCCTTTTGTTTCCAAGCCATTAACATTTTAAAAGCCTTATCTGCCAGCTCCCTTTTGGTTAAATCAAAGTTATCTATTGCAGCTTGGTTGAATCCCAGTTGTCTTCCTAATTCTCCCCATTTTTCTCCAAGTTCCAGAGACAGATCTCCTAACTCGTCATCTGATGGTCCATAAGCCTTAACCAAATCTGAGGATAATAATGGAAGAAGAGGGAAAAATTAGAAAAGGGGTGCTTTAGGGATTTGGCGAATAGCGAACAGTTGTAGCAAAAGGCGACTTGTCTTTTTGGTATCATTCAATACCGAATCGTTGGCCTCAAAGACTGTCAGGCTTGGGCGAGGAGACATTTGCAGCAGCAGGGAAACCATTTTCCCAACTTATCAAAATAAATCCCTAAAAAGTTTTCCGAAATCATTATCTATCTGTGGCCTCTTCATTCGTTTATGGCCCGACAAGCATCTTGAAAATGGAAGTCATGAAGAACGTCTCTTAGCTAGTCTCCAGCTGCTAATGCCGGAATAGGTGATAGTTGTTAACGATACACGGGTGTTCGATTGGTGATCCAGTTTTAATTCGTGATTTTATATTCTCTTCACATCACAACAAGGTGAAAAGGATGTCTAATAAACGTAATGTCACTCCTTCTTCATAAACAAATTTTACCACAGATAAACGTATAACAGAAGTGTGCAAACTTGATAAAAATACAATAAAAAGGAAAGTCCGTCCCAACATTTTCAATCTCGGTACTACCTACAGCGTTTCCTCTTATCAGAAGCCGCAACAGGGCTGCATAAAGATGATTCTGAATTTGGTTGCTCTACAATTGAAGGTCTCACACTTTGGGCGGAAATACCTGCAGAATAATGGGTTTAATGAGATGGTTGGGTTGAGAACTAGAGAGCAAGTTTCACAGTGCATATGGTTCGGAAACGATGGTGTGGGGATCCTGGACTGTGATCGTCCGGGTAAGACCCAGTATTCACAACTTGGAGTAGAAAGTATTATCGATTTCCCTTCTGAGTAACAATGATCATTGACAAATTTGACAAAGGGTGCTGTTAAAAAGAAACATATTTGATCTAAGATTTCATTTGAAAAGCAATAACAGGTTGCAAAGGATTTGTCAAAGTTACTCCATTATTTTAACGATATAACCAACGGAATCATTTTTTAAAGAATTACACTTCTTTGTGTCTTTCCCAAGCTGTTTTGCGTTTTACTTGTTTCAAGTATAAAATTCCTTACAAGTAAGGTCGCACGTACCGTGAAGGTCTGCATCGAGTTTACTGATACGTAACATAGACAATAAGCCATCACTATTGAGCGCGAGGGGAGCATGCCCCAATTTATTAACACATGAAGTAAGGCAAGTTATTATGACTTTGCGCTAAGAACACATTGCTTCGTCACTAAATGCTATATACATTTTCAAAACTTACAGAGCCCGCATTTCTGAGTTTGCATATTTTAGAACAATAATGACTGGCCTAGTAAATTGTATTTATTCGAACAACAACGAAACCAACAACAACAAAAAAAAACAACTTACCGCTTCCTTCTTCAGAATCAGAGGTGCTAGGAACAGAATCCTAAAGGGAAAGGGGAAAATTCGCAATATTACGGGTGCGTATGGAGTGAAAAGAAACGAGGAAATAAAGAAAGGACTAGATAATAGGAAAAATTAAAAAAAAATAAGTATAGAGACATAGAAAGTGACTTCAAAACAACTGAAATACAAAAGTAGTACATTAGATCAAAAATTTTCTAGTTCTTATATGTTCCTGTACTATTTCCTGTTGGCAGAACATTTCTTTAACTACGAGACATTCATCAGTCTTGTGTTTCTAGTGATTCGTCCTAAATAAGGTTCGTGCCGCCTTAAAATGGCCTCGTTATCTTACTCAAAACCTTTTGATGGCGAATTTGCGAGACTATTATCGACTTAGCAGAGCTTATTTAACCCGAAAGAACTATTTTTCCAGAAGACACCTCCCTCTTTTCAGATTACTACTACTGTTTAAAAAAAAAAGCTTGATCAAAGGACCGGAAGGCCGGATCCTAGTGTGGCCGCTTTAGTTTCTTAAGCTGTATTTGCTTTGGTAAAATTAATACAGCCAAGCTTATCCCAGTCAAGTCATATTTCATATTGAGCCTATGAGAAGCATTAGCAAGCAATAACGTTCACAGGAACTGTAAACACATTTATATCAATGGATCAAGAACTCATGCTACCAAGTTAGTGTCTCTGGAAAATATGTGGGTGTAGCCACATGCTTTTCACTGCCAGGTACACCCTAAGTTTCCACCCAAACGACTGTGGTCTCCAAAACGAATGGTTCAGTGAGATAACATGACCAACATTCAATATTCGGAACAGCTTAAATTTATGTATGGAAAAACCGCTGAAGTTGCAAGGTAGTTGGGAGATGGAATCTGCCAAATATAGGTATGTCGAGGAAAGCCTTGACAAAGAGCTACGGGTAAAAATCTTTGACTTTCCTTTACATTATAATGGTCCTAATACCTTAATGAAATGTTAAAGATTTCACTATAAACACATTTTTTTTGGTTGAGTTCCAGTTATTTTTGGCAAAATAATGAAATTCGTTTGAGCGTGGCGATTTACGACATCAGTACCGGCAATTTTTGTTTATCCACACTTTCTTTTTCAATGAATGAAAATGCAGATCTATGCATTTAAACAGCAGTATCGTAAATACCTGTACTGGAGATCTCGGAATGATGGGCACGTGACATAATATTGGGGAATTTTTTCTCTCCTTGTCTCCCTGCGATTTTAGGAAGTCGACTTGCAGATCACTCCGGTCCTTAATACTAACACGCAGACTCGCCAGAAAATGTTCGCTACCAAGAAACCTCGCATAAAAAAGGAACAAAAGTTTGGATGAATAACAACTTTTTCCATAGGTTTCAAGTATAGCGGATTTAGCAAATCACTTGAGTCTGCATCTTGGTAAGCGGCAAAAAACAATCTTTAAGTTATTTTAGCTTTTTCTCGGTTGAACTTAATGAAGGAACAACATACTTAAGGAACTTAGTTAATTTTAGAGTACTGAAGTGTAAATTTCTCTAAGATTTTGAGCTTTCTTAAGGGAAGAGGTTCGAATGGATAATTTAAATCCATTCGTGTAACAGACTTGTTTTCTGAAGCTAGGAGACAAAGGGACAGTGCCGCTTACTCAACCCGAATGATGAGAATGGAACGATAAAACGTAAAAGGGCTGGCGCTTACTTTAAGACGATGTCCTCTACATTTCTCTCTCCTTTCACTTCAAATCCACTTGAAAGGGACACACATGTCTCATCACCGCTAGACAGAGGTTTCTCCGAGGTTCCTTCTCCTTGCATATTCACAAAATATGATGAAATATCGCTATCCACTTTGAACCTTAAATGCTGCGGGAAACAAAACATTTTCAGCACGTATCTCGCGGGTACTGCATCACTGCATAAGCAAGCTAAAAACCCAGCATGTCGTTTCATGATTCCATCATATAGAAGCGTGGCATTTTTCCATGGAGTGCTGACGAACGTCTTCAACAACCAGGGCCAAAACCTAAAAGAAAACGGCAGGAAAATGTACACTTCGTGTACCAAAAAGAAACGTTTTAAGAGGCGCATCTACACTTATTAGAAATTATGTTAGCCTCTTGAGAAGAAAAATTTGCTGGAGGAAATAATCTCTAGTCAAGTACCATGACACTTTTTAAGTATCCACCCAAGTCAGTTACCTTTCTCAAAATTAATCAACACGACCGTTTTTTGGACTTAGCAAGAAAGAAACTTTTTTCAATCTGAACTTTTTATCTTAAAGTCAGCTCGAATAACTTGGAGAAGCTCGAGAGATGCACCAAATATTGAGAGAGGAGGAGGGGGAGAAAAACGCGGAGCAGAGGGGGGGGAGGGGGGTAACAGGTAACTCTTGTGAGTAAAGTAACTCACTTGTGGAAATCGCTGCGTGTGAAAACAACAGATTTTATACGTTTGAATTTGAATTATACTGTGCAGCAGAACAAAAGCTCATTTGGGGAGCAGTCGTTGCAATAAAACTGGCGTCAAGTATCCTTCTTGTCCAACTTCCTGGATGTTTCTTATTTTTTAACTACCCTATTCAATCGCCAGTGGAATAAAAATATCTCAAAAATCAGGCGTATAATTTGGAAATGGTCCTCACGGCCTATAATTTTTAGTAGTTCGCAATATAAATCGTTTGTGTTATCTTGACCACTTTGTGTACATTGATTTATGTTACTTTTCAGTGCTCTTTTGCATTCATTGTCACATTCAAACCCAAGAACTGACGAAATTTGGAGATTCACAACAATTGCAAAGCGGACTTCTGGTTTCTAAAACTAATGGTAAAGTAAAATAAACAAAGTAAATAATGAAAAATGTACACAGTTTATAGAATAAAAATGTGGTCTACACCTCTATCTTACCGGCAGAAAGTTTTGACTTGAAACATCACTATTCCATCTCTAAGGACTACAGGCATATCCAAATGATCTGTGATATCCGTCCATTCTTGTGATTCCTCTCTCGAATTGAAATGTAGTATCTTCACCTGACCTGAATGCAGCTCCGCTAGTTCTATTTCACCGTCCGTGAGTGACAACGGGAGGCTGATTTTCGCTGGCACTGACAGCTCTACATTGTTTGAGCACGAAATGTGAAGAATCGGACCAACAAGCATTCCTTCCACATTGTGGTCAATGGTTGGCGCTTCTTGCACCTTAAATTAAGAGAGCCAAAACAATCATATTACAAAATTTATGATAACCCAAGGTACTCTTGTTAGCTACCAGTAGTTTCCCAAATGAAATGAGGACGTTGAATAGATTTGTTAGCTACTAGTAGTTTCCCAAATGGATTGAGGATGTTGAATAGATTTTATTAAACATTCTTTTTCAGCTAAAATGTATGCACTCACACTAACATGATAGTTTTCAAAAAATCTGTTATTGACCGTAATTTAGGTCAAAGCATTTGATTTTATAGCAAGGTAATACCCTCTCGGCAATAATTTGTTTTTTTTGTTTTTAACCTTAAAGTCTTATGAAACAAATGATAGATATTGAAATAGTGATATAAATGATAAGAATAATGATGACAATAAATGCCATAATCACTCTCATCATCATCTTAATTATTTCTTACAAATGCAACATCGGGTATAAATACCTTTAGAGTTAAAGAAAAGTCTGTATCGACAGGCAAAGAATTCCATGGAATCGCAACACTAACATTTGGATAGTCTGGCAGTGAACAGATAAACTCAGAGGTCTTAGACGTAGGCTTAGGAAAGACAAAAGACTTGAGGCGCCAGACTGCTGCAAACGAGGAAAACCACCTTTTCGAGCACGAAGCTTTAGCGGAAGGGCACGTCCAACTGGGGATGGTTGGATGTACTGTAATATAATAACATTATTATTAATGCTGTAATAGATATCATTAGTTATGGTTATTACTTAAATCTTTCTCACAGAGCGGTCTGTGTAAGAGAATCTCGACCACGACATAAAGATACTGTTAATAACGTTCCTGTGGGTATAATCCGTTTCAATTATTACTCAGTAGTCCCTATTAACCAAGCTGGAGGTCGTATGGGAGAACTTCCATGTTGTCATTCTAATCCATTCTAAGTTTTGCCCGAGAACACAGCACCATCAAACTGTAAATGTCGATCTGGAATTACGTGCGCTTACCACTAAGCCGGCTCCCCATCTCCCTTAAATGATCCTAACTAGGGATTGGGAAATTAGTAAGAAGTATATGGAATGATACTTGTGTATAGATCTCATCGGTAAAATTTATTATTTCAGCACCTGACGAATGCCAAATGTTTTTTGTCTCCAAATCCTCCCACTCGTTGTATTCGGGGTCAACCAACTGCTTTATAACCACCTCGTACCCTTTGGAGTTAGAGGCACTGTGCAACAAAGCTACATCTATGCTTCCCGAATCATTTTCCATGAACTCCAGATCAGGTGGGCCATCATGAGACAGTTCAATCACATTGCTTACCAAGAGCTCATTGCTACCTATGGGCGGAGAAAGGGCTGCGGGGGTCCATAATGAACATGTTATGGTCAAGGATTTTGTTATCGCTCCAAGGTTAAATGTGATGGATGCACCAGCTTTTGCAAGATTCCAAGTCTCTGACTCGTCTGCAATTTTACCTCTGAAATAATCACAAAGTTACATTTATCAAGCTTTTGTTTGAGTGAAAACGCTTATCATGTTTCCTCTTGAATGTAAAGTGAGTTTCTCTTTCAAAACGGTTTTGCAGCTCTTTGAACTCGGTCTCATCAACTTCAGTGATGGGCTATCTTTATTAATTGGTTGTCTGTATCTTACTCCATCGGTGAAAAGCTTATGCATAACGTAACATTTTGATATTTTATGCTCGAGGGTTGACATTCCGGATGTGATGTCACTATCAAATAACCAAATCACGAAGATGCAGTCTACTTCGTTGGACAAGGCCAAAACGGCGTCTTTTATACCTTTTTTGCGGGTGAATATGCGACAGAATCAGCTTTTTTTAACAGTTATTAGCCCTCTGCAGGAACGCTAAACTATAAAAATACTGAAGTTAAAGAATAAATTATAAGCAACCTAAGACTACACTTTCTATAGGTCTATCGTTGTATAAATAACGAAGGACGGATATTGGGGAAGAACTTAAAAACGCTTTAGATTACCGGACTATAGCCAATACAACGCTCCCGAATGTCGCAAATTGAGAGTACCTAATTCGGTGAAGCAACGATTCTTCTAATTAAGTGTGGAATTACTTTTATGGAATAAATTGTAGGTTTTGAGTAATTGTAGTGCAAATTGTATCTAAGCTATCTCATCAAGTAAGAGAATCAATAACATTCTATATTAAAGTTCACACGGCAACCAGGTGGATAATCAGACATAGCTTGATGCCACTCTGGTTAGCAGATTTAATGAATGTAACCGAAGAAGTTACAATTCATAGATCCAACGTTTCGACACTCCTCTCTAGTGCCTTCATCAGGGGTGATTTAAACGCTGAAACAATAGGTTTTTTTTTCTGACTAGGTGTAAATAGGCGTCAAGGGCGGAGTTAATATGCCAAGCCTCCAAACAAAGGCGCTGGTGGTAACGCCGATTAGTGGTAATAATTTTAGAATTATCCCACCCAATTGTATGGTTAGTTAGGCACATATGCTCCAATAAAGCTGAATTTTCTTATTGCAAAGGAAAACCGCTTTTTGGTGCTCTTTTAACCGTGTACCAAACTGACGTTTGGTCTGTCCGATGTATTCGTTGTCACAGTCATTGCAAGGAATAGAATAAATGGCGTCGTTTCGTTGTTCTTTCGTGACAGGATCCTTAGGTTTGGCGAAAATATGCCCCAAAGTCTGAAAAGGTTTTTGAGCAACTTTAACGTTGTGGCTATTCAAAATTCTCTTGATGGGTTCCGTAACACCCTGTATGTAAGGAATAACAGCAAAACCAGTCGCTAGTTTCCTTTCATCAAGAGCGTTACTATTTGTAAAATAGTAACGCTCTTGACGCTCTCGTAAAACGTAAAAAAAACGCTCTTGTAAAAAAAACGCTCTTGTAAAATAGTAACGCAAAAACCAGTTACAAATAGTAACGCTCTTGATGAAAGGAAACCAGCGACTGGTTTTTCTGTTATTCCTTACAAATGCAAACCAGAGTAGCATCAAACTATGTCCAATAACATTCTATTTAAAATTTATGAACAGCATTCAAAATAGCCATTTTTTTCTTTATCCCGAAATTTTCAATTGTACATGTGACCATCATGGTTCATTCTACTCAGGGAAAGTTTTTCTTTTATTAAGCGCAGCTTAATATGATTGTTATGTCGCTAATGTGCATTGCACGCAAATATTCGCAAATCATGTTAACCCTTTACACCCTGACATCATGCAGTTTTTATTTTCTCCAAACTATTCGGGAAAAATTTCTTAAGTTGCTGACGAGGAGAAGTCGTTTAGCAATCTAGAGCTGCATTGGAGGGTGATCATTTTCTTTATTCTCCTGACCTTAAAGTTTGATTCAGGGGTGATGTTGTGAGGAGAAATTGCATAGTAGCCACCCTTAGGAGCAATTGTATAACTTATTAATTTTTCATATATACATGTATATATAATTCCACTAACGTGGGATAACAGAACGACTACATGCAAATGAACTGCACCTCTTGATGACAGTCTTTCTTTCATCCACATTTCTTGCAGCCTCCTCCTTCTGGCGAACGTCTTGATCAGTTGATCTGGAGGAAAATTCTTCCACCTCAAGTGACTTCTCTTCTTCTGGAGCTATGTGATTAGACAAAAGAACAGGTATGTTCTTTCCCAATGCAGGATAGATTTGTAATAAGTCGTTTAGCAACTAAGGTAACTGATGAGATAATTGAACATAGGATAGTTTGGTGTCATCAACCAAACTGATAATGCAAATTGGCCACCGTAGTGGGATTCTGAAGCTGGCATTAGCCTCTGTCGGAGCCATTTAGTCTGACGGGGGCTAAGCTTCTCGAATTTTCTTCCGATATCTTTCAAGTGGGTTTATCATGTTTTATAATTAAGTTTGGATATAACGCGTGCTCTCATTGGTTAAAAGAGCGTGCTCTAGGAGAGTATAGAGCATAGAACTGAGCTAAAGCTGTCACACCATAAACCAAATTGTACTACGTCCGACCTTTTCCGAGACTTCTTACTTGCTTTTCTTTCTTAAATTGAAAGTGAAATTTCGGAACAAGCGAGCAAAGGTTTGCAAAAATGCCAGGCGCAGTAATTTACGTTACTGTAACGTGATCAGAGACAAAAATCCTCAAAGATAAAAGAAAATGGACAGTTCGAGTTTTAAGGGTTTTCACGCTTAGTTAGATTGCAAGTTTACATACGGTAATAAAAATCAAACACAGCTAGCACTTGCATAGTATATAAAGTTTCGTGTTCAAAAACAAAACAGAAAAAAACAGGAATGATGAAAAATATAGCCTGGCATAACTGTTAAAATTCATACCAATCATGACGGTGTTAGAGCTACTACGATCATTCTGAGGTCTATCGCGGCTAGCTCATCATGGCGATCTTTGGTCATCGTAGTGGAGCAAGCCTCTGGAACTAAATCGACTACCCTTCGAGTGTAAAAATAAGAGCTTGCTCTGATAACTTTTCCGATGCGTTGAGTGGAAGGCCACATCAGTCACTGCAGCCGAGTTTTACGGCGCTGTCATTCCGAGCGATCTTCATGTCCTGGTGAATTCGACTGCCATTCATTCATAAAACACTCGTTTTGAACAGTTTGTTTTCTTCTTGTCATGTGAAATAACTTGCGTATTTTTGTGAGCCACGATTGGGCCGAATTTCACCGAACAATTCACTATCAGATTCTGTATTACAAACTGAAAACTTCAGACAAAACTGTTAAATTCGACATGCCGAACTATTTCAGTTTGTAAACTATTGCAGAATATGATCTTTGATGGTCTTTGAACTTTGATGCCGGGTTTGACTTTTGATTTTTGAAAGCGGCTAGAGCACTCAAGAAGTAGCTCTAGCCGCTTCATGAGTGCTTTACAACAGAACAGAGCACAGTCAAGGCTTCTCTATTCGTTAAATACAACGCAGGAAAATGTTATATTGCTTTTAGGAAGTAACCATGAGCAAGGTTTAACGGCGAAAAGAATTAATTTATGATAGATATCGTGATCAAGTAAATGATTCTCAATACAACCCTCAAAAAGCGCGAGAGACCAATCAAGGCGCCTGAGAGAAAATTTACAATCCGCAAGGACAACAATATTAACAACTGAACAATTGAATGAATGAGCATAAAACACGAAGGAAAATTAAGAGAAATCGTGGCAAAGATAACGACGCCTTACGCAATGCGTTTCTCTTGAAGGGTACTTCAATTTCAACGCAGAAAACTCTGTGGTAAGAATGCAGATAGGCCGTTCAATATTTTCCCTATTATCTAAACTGCTTTTATAGCCTCTGTTTTAATTGGAGCTTACAAAATCATCAAAATCAATAGCAAGCTCTTCAATGCTTAGATATAGCGAATACTTATAAAATACAAGCTTACAGCGCGCATGTTACACGAAAAAATCATAAACTCCAAATTGCATATTGAATGTATCAGGATGTTGATTGAAGGCACTCTGGTTTGGTTTCCGTTCCGATTGTAAATAAGACATTTTGGAAAATTTCTGAAAGAAAGTCTCTTGCTATAAATATAATCGGAAGCATTAATACTTAATCAGAAGTTTTGAGATATAACTCAGATCTCAGAAGACATCAAATGTAGTATTTAACTCAATCACTTTTTGTTTGCTATCTTACTCTAAAGTCATCGCTATCACTGAATTAAAATTCCGATTTCTTGCAAAAAAAGTTGAATTAACACTTATTTACTACGCAAAGCGTGGTAACGAGAACTAATGCCGCTGAGGAGCCTGGGGAGAGTAAACATTTTATTGAAAATGGCGGAGTGCTTGACAAGTTTGAGGATTGGTAGCGGAGGACTTTTGTGGGGATGACTGCCAATTTCGTGCTGAACATTTACTACGGAATGTATTTATGAAATCTAGGACAAAGCATACTAGGGAAAAACAATTGAGATGTGGGCTCCTAAAAAATAAACAGACGACTTTCAAAATGAAAGCTAAAACGTGGCCTTTCTGAATGCAGGAATAAGACATTAAGTCTTAATTCGTTTTTCTTTTTGTTCTCTTCACATTATAACTAGGTAAAAAGGATGTCTAATAAATATAGTGCAAGTCTTTCTGCATAAACAGATTTTACCATACATAAACGTGTAACAGCAACATGCAAACTTGAAAAATATACAATTAAAAAGGGAAATCTATCACGACATTTTCAATCTCGATGTTACTCGCAGATTCGCGTATCCTCTTCCTACGAGCCGCAAGAGGGCTGCATGACAATGATTCTAAATTTGGACGCTTTACAATTGAACGTTTCACACTTTGGACGGAAGTACCAGCAGAATAATGGGTTTCATGAGATGGCTGGGTTGAGAACTAAAGCAAGTTTTATGGCGCATATGGTTCGGAAACGATGGTGTGGTGATCCTGGACTTTGATCGTCCGGGTAAGACCCAGCGTTCATAGCTTAGAGTAGTAAGTTTTGTCGATTTCTCTTCTAAGTAACAATGAGCATTGACAAATTTGACAAAGGGGGCTGTTATAAGGTAACATATTCGATCCAAGATTTCATTTGAAAAGCAATATCAGGTTGCAAAGGATTTATCACCGTTAGAGTTATTCCATTATTTTAACGATATGACCAACAAAATAATTTTTGGAGAATTACCCTTCTTTGTGTCTTTCTAAGCTGTTTGCGCTTTTCTCGTTTCCAATAACAAATTTCTTAAAAGGAAAGACATACGCACCGAGGTCTGCTTGAGTTTACTGGTACAAAACAGAGACAATAAGCCATCACTTTGAGCGTGAGGGAGGCACGGCCCGATTTATTAACACATGAAGAAAGGCAAGTATGACTTTCCGTTAAGAACACGTGCTTTGTCACTAAATGCTACATTTTCAAAACCCACAGAGCCTACATTTCTGAATTGACATATTTCAGAACAAAATGACTGCTCTAGTAAATTTTATTTGTTCGCACAACAGCGAAACCTACAACAAAAACAACAACTTACCACTTCTTTCTTCATGGTCAAAGGTGAAAGGATCAGAGACCTAAATGGAAGAGGGAAAATTCGCAATATTACGGGTGCGTATGAGCTGAATAGAAATGAGAAAATAAAGAAAATTACTAAGTAATAAGAGAAAGGAAAATAAATAAAAAGGATAGGCAGAGGCATAGAAAGTGACTTTAAAAGAACTGAAAAATAAAAGTAATACACAAAATCAAAAACTTGCAAGGTCTTGTCTGTTCATGTACTATTTCCTGTGGGCAGGAAATTTCTTTAACTATTCGACATTCATCAGTGTTTACTACTCTTAGGAGAAGGAAACCTAGAAAAGGAGAACTCGCTAAAATGGCTTCTTTTCAACATAGTAAGCGGTCAGACAACAGGCCATGCACTTTGGAAGTAAGGTGAGATATTTTTATTGAGAATTTGTCTGTATTTTTACTTCCTAAGAGCAGTCGTAATTATTTCCATACAAACTCAAATTTTCGCTATAACTCTTATTTCGTAAGATGATCATCTCACAACTGGAGCTTGGGCTGCCTGTGGTTACAGCATTGCTAATCCTTTTAATTAATTATCATCTACTATAGTAAGGTTGGCATCAGTAATATATTAGCCCTAGGCTAAAAATGCATTTAATTAGCAAATCCACGAACCGTAAAATGTCACCTACTTGAGACACTAATACCATGATCATGTTGCACAAAAGTTCCTGACTTTGGTCGGAAAACTTCACTCCTGGAACACTCTCACTTCCTAGGCAAACCTCACCACCTGTGTAAAAAACTTCGTTCTCGCGGAATCTGTTAAAAATGAAATGAATTTAACTGAGACAAACCCAACGTACACTAATGAATAAAGGGTAAGTTTCTAAAGAAACTGTGGTGCTGCGTCGGTGGGAGAGTATAACAGGTAATTTAGTGTTAACAACTGGGCTGAAAACGTAAATTAGCCACCGTAAAGGTACAATTTTACAATGGAAGGAATAAATCATTTCTATATAAGAATAGCATGACGTAACCTAGAAGTATTTAGTTAAATCATATGTACTTGATGGGCCAGAAATAAATTGTATTATATTATACCTCACAAACTGCAGGGCATTTTTCTGGTCTGTGCCCTGAGGTATGATAGCCTCGGAAAGAGACACCAAAATTTTCTCCTCTCCACAGACTGGTTTAGAAGAGCAGCCTTCGTCTTTGTAGGGTACGACACATTCCGATATTTTCCATATTACATCATAATACAGTCTTTGAGGATAGCAAAAAAGTTTGAGTTTAAAATGTCCACGAACACCGGTCTCACACAAGCACGTAAAAAATCGGGCATGCTGAGGCCTAGACCTATTGCAAAGTTTTCCTACAAACTCAGTGAAGCCCGAAGTAGATTGTAAAAGTGATCTCATCAACTTGATTGGACGGAATCTATCGGAAAAGAAAAGGAAAAATCAAACACAGCTCAAGCAATCCAATGGAAACGATTATCAGCCATTGCACAGTAATCTTGAGTATATGCGTACTCGAGTGGTCATTTCAATTATTGAATCTATAGTTAACTAAAAGAAATCCATGTATGTATGACTGTACACTAAAATACGTTTGAATTTCCTCTACGTCATGCGTATTATTTTTTAAATAAAGCCGACGAGAAATATTTACCCAGAGAAATGCCTAACTTTAAATTGCACTTTCCCATCTACAAGACGTGGCGGTTCATCTAATTGATCTGTAATGTCTTTCCAGTCATGTGCTTCACATTGTAATATCCTCAGTTCACCGGGACGTAACTCTGTCAACTCTTGTTTTCCTTTACGGAAGGTGAGAGGAATCCTTATTGTTACAGGTGCGATGAGACTAACATTTTGAGAGCCTGAAATGTAAATAACTGGACCGACAAGTCCTCCCTCTCCTTTTAGCTCACTGCTTGGGAATTCTTGTACCTGGATTTAAAAGCAAAACAAGTTGTTGGGCATGTTAAACTACACCCAGCGTAAAGATAATTTGCTTCACATTGTGGAAAGTGAATTTCAGGATGAAATTTTGAAATTATCTAAAATTATAGTACACAATGTAAATGTCCTTTCAAAGTTTTATGTAGTAATATAAGCATTATTATGAAAAAATGTATACACTGGACTTAATATAAAAAGTCTGATTGGTCAAGAGCACTCAATCAATATACAGTAAAGAGCGAAGTTCACATATAGCCCAATATCTACCGCAGATATTGCAGTTATCATGTCGAGTTCAACCTCTGCCTAGTTTCCAAGCCCTGACTGTCTGTGAAGTATTCTTAAACTTTTGCAAATTTAAAGAGATGTCTTCTTTTGTAATTTGTTTAAAAGATGTATAATAAAACAATAATTTAATTTGGTTTTTGCATGATGTCATAACTCACCAAACCTTATGTCTGTGTTGTCTTCGGCTTACGCAGATAACTCAGACCTTGGTTTTGCTAATTCATCATGATATCATGCATAACTTCATCCACTAATTGCATTAATTGCAAACCAATACAAACCAATTTACCTGACAGGAATGACTTCAATTTGACATTTATATCGAAGCAAAAGTCTGTTTGTTGCTTAGAATGAGTTTTCCAAAACCTACTTTTAAAAAGGGAATGCCCAGGATCCATGAGTATACATGGGGACAGTAGTACCACAAATAACTTTGTCACATGTATCTTCACACACATGCAAGCACAAGCCCAACTGTCCTCTATTTTAGCTTAAAGTTGTTAATTAATATCTCTCTTTCTATGAATATTGCCACCAAGTTCATGGAGTGTATGGCAAGTAACTGAGGGTACAGGTTATACTATTGCAACACCTTTGTTTTATCTCCTTGCTTTTGACAATCCCCTCACGCCAATCCTATGACTTTCAAAACTGGAAAATGAAAAAGTTGCAGGACTCATGCATGTATATAATTTTATAGTTCCATGCACCTTGATTGTCACACAGAAATCTTGATAAACAGGAACACAACTCTGAGGAATTTGGACACTGACATCAGGAAGGTCAGGCACAATACAGGTCAATTCCGGGCCTACTGCAGTACCTCTTGAAAAGGTGAAAGACTTAGGACGCCAGACTGCAGCAAATGAAGAAACTGCTGATTTTGTGCAAACAGCTTGTGCAAATGGGAAAAGCCACTTGGGAACTGTTGAAGTTTCTGCATATAAAAATAAATGATTGGAAATGCATCCTTCAGCTGTGTTTTGAAGTCTTCAATCAATTAATTTACCCCCAACAGATGTCATTATGATATTTATGCTTCAAAGAATAAAGTTTGCAACAACATGGTTATTGAGGAAAATTTATATTATAGTGATTAATATGCATTGGAGACTTCATGTAACATGTATGCAATAATTACACGTACTGCTTGGATACACCTAAAGGGTAAACGAAAAAAAAAGTTCTAAAGTTGGATTTGTAATGCCTATGAAGAAGCAAGAAGTTTACTTTGACATTATGAGTGCAGCAGGTCATGCATGGCAGGAATAGATGTCCGCATCTAAGTCAGTGCACACCTACTCCTTCGCCCTTAAGTCAACTGATAAGTTCGGGTTACAGGTTAGGTTTAATTTTGGGTTAGGAGAAGGGCAGCTGCACATTTCTCAAATGCTGACATGGATGCCAGTGAAAAAGGGAAACATAACGTTACCTGATCCATGCCAAGTATTCTCTGTCTTTAATTCCTTCCATTCGTTGTTCTCTTGGTCAGTCAGTTGCTTGATAACCACCTCATACCCCTCCAAATATGGGGCACTGTGCAGCAAAGATACAGTAAAACTTATTCCTTCAAAACTTTGCTTGTAATCCAGATCTGGTGGGCCATCATGAGATATTTCAATAACACTGCTAACCAATATCTCATCACTGGCAGTGGAGGGGGAGAGGGTCCTGGGGTTCCACAATAAGCATCTACATGTAAATGGCACAGGTTGTTGTTCAGCTCCACTGCAAAGTTTGATAGAGGCACCAGCTTCCCTCAGGTGCCATGAGTCTTCCTTACCTCCGATTTGTCCTCTGAAATACAAAGGAAATTAATTATCCAGCACTTTAAGATATTTTTCCCAAGTGGAGTAAGCAATGACAAAGGCATTTAAAATGCAAGTGGCAAACTGGCAGTTTGAAAAACTCATTCAGATTTTGACACTTAATTTCAAAACTAAATCTAATAAATGTTATTTTTCTTTTCTTTTCCATTAATTTGCTTTTCTTTGACTCAAATAGCGTGTAAATATGCGTCAAATATGTGCAAATATTATAATCATAAATAAAAAAATTTATTAAAATGATTCACTATCATTTTTGATAATAATTAAGTACCCCTTTATTAATGGAACACTGAAAAAAAAAATTTGAATACCTGTAGAACATGGTAATTGAACTGGGTGGAGTAAACTTTGTTCTGAAATCATACGCGTGACATCTGAATCAAAGGATTGTGCAGCAGCATTAGACTTGAAATCACTAGTATGATTTCAGACTAAAAGTGCATGGCAAAAGTTCAATTACCACTTCATTACATTTATTTTAAATTTGCAAAATTCAGTTGCTAAATGAATAAAGATTTTTTTAAAGCCGGTACAAATACATGTATGTTATTTATCCAGTACTGAGCTGGTGTGTAAAATGTTGTAAAAGTTGTCTTTCTTTTTTTCTGCAATTTGATTGATTTCCTAAAACAATTGGTTAAATCTGATTTGTTGCTGTATTTTCGTGGAACTTTCTCATTAGCTGGGAAATCGATGCACTTTAGAGCAAAAAATGGTGCATTTTATCAATAAATCGTGCCAATGAGAACCAATCAGATTGCAAGGATCACCAGTGATTTGAGCATGAATGTAATACATTTTTAATAGCATTACAGTTGTTGAGCATGAACTTTATTAACTAAAGATTAAAAATAAAATAAAATAAAAGAAAGTAACTGTCATTTATAAAGAGGTCCGGAGGGTTGTACTTTAGTCAGAGCACTTTGTCAAAAGTTGCCATTAGTTAACACCTCCTAGCAACTCCAACCCTACTTTTTACAATGGTCTGTGCATCCATGAGAAAAAAAAAGCATGTGAAAGGCAAAAAACTGAGTCATTGCAGAAAAACCCATACCTTTTGATCAAAGTCTTTTCATTGTCTTCAGTGTCTACTGTTGCATCTTCTATATCTGCCAAATCTTTCCTGCGGGTGTAATAAGGTACCTCATCCTCCTCTTTGGCTGGGGAAATTATTATTTTGAGGCGTTTGGTTTCAGTATACAATATAACGGACATTTACTACCACTTAATTCCCAATATCTGTTCAACCAAAATTGTTCAAGATGGGGTGTTTCCTCACTAACGAAAAAGTTGTTTATTTAGAACAATTTTTTCGTCATCACTAAATTTTGACAAATTTTGGCCAAAGCCGACAAATCGTGAAACACATCGCCGACAAATTTGTCCCAAGTAAAATCTGGACAAATTAATTAAATAAGCAAGACCGTGATAAACTTGTCGATTACTTATCGCAAAAGCTACGAACAGCGTGTAGCTGAACTGAAATCAGTTTACTATAGGGGCAAAAATTCTCTTTTGTCGCAAAACTCTGGGATTCTAAAATTTTAAAACGGCTTTGAAAAATCCTAGAAATTGGAGGTGGAATCCTTTGGCAGACTAGGTCGAGCGGTAAGAGAGTTTTTCAACTTTGAAATTTACAATGTAGATGCAACACTTAAACAAACTTTTATCCTTTGATTTTGCCAGGACAGTTTTAGGCTGTAGTCATGAAAATCGCGAAAGCTCCGATATGCATTGATTAAGAGTATAAGATAAGATTACCGTATGACTCTCCTTCTCCAGCCTTGTCCCCCACTTCTTTTGCAATTTGTAGACGACGCTCGTGGTAACTGATAGCCTTATGAAAATCGCCTAAGCCATGATAGGCACTGCCAAGATTTCCATAAGCCCGTCCTTCTCCAGCTTTGTCTCCCACTTCTTTTGCAATTTGTAGATGACGCTCGTGGTAACTGATAGCCTTATGAAAATCGCATAAGCTATCATAGGCATTGCCAAGATTTCCATAAGCCCTCCCTTCTCCAGCTTTGTCTCCCACTTCTTTTGCAATTTGTAGATGACGCTCGTGGTAACTGATAGCCTTATGAAAACCGCCTAACATACGATAGGCAATGCCAAGATTTCCATAAGCCCCTCCTTCTCCAGCTTTGTCTCCCACTTCTTTTGTAATTTGTAGATGACGCTCGTGGTAACTGATAGCCTTATGAAAATCGCCTAAACCATGATAGGCATTGCCAAGATTTGCATAAGCCCGTCCTTCTCCAGCTTTGTCTCCCACTTCTTTTGCAATTTGTAGATGACGCTCGTGGTAACTGATAGTCTTATGAAAATCGCCTAAGCTATCATAGGCATTGCCAAGATTTCCATAAGCCCGTCCTTCTCCAGCTTTGTCTCCCACTTCTTTTACAATTTGTAGATGACGCTCATGGTAACTGATAGCCTTATGAAAACCGCCTAACATACGATAGGCAATGCCAAGATTTCCATAAGCCCCTCCTTCTCCAGCTTTGTCTCCCACTTCTTTTGTAATTTGTAGATGACGCTCCTTGTAACTGAGAGCCTTATGAAAATCGCCTAAACCATGATAGGCATTGCCAAGATTTGCATAAGCCCGTCCTTCTCCAGCTTTGTCTCCCACTTCTTTTGCAATTTTTAGATGACGCTCGTGGTAACTGATAGCCTTATGAAAATCGCCTAAGCTACCATAGGCATTGCCAAGATTTCCATAAGCCCTCCCTTCTCCAGCTTTGTCTCCCACTTCTTTTGCAATTTGTAGATGACGCTCGTGGTAACTGATAGCCTTATGAAAACCGCCTAACATACGATAGGCAATGCCAAGATTTCCATAAGCCCCTCCTTCTCCAGCTTTGTCTCCCACTTCTTTTGTAATTTGTAGATGACGCTCGTGGTAACTGATAGCCTTATGAAAATCGCCTAAACCATGATAGGCATTGCCAAGATTTGCATAAGCCCGTCCTTCTCCAGCTTTGTCTCCCACTTCTTTTGCAATTTGTAGATCACGCTCGTGGTAACTGATAGCCTTATGAAAATCGCCTAAGCTACCATAGGCATTGCCACGATTTCCATAAGCCCCTCCTTCTCCAGCTTTGTCTCCCACTTCTTTTGCAATTTGTAGATGACGCTCGTAGTAACTGATAGCCTTATGAAAATCGCCTAAGCCATGATAGGCATTGCCAAGATTTCCATAAGCCCATCCTTCTCCAGCTTTGTCTCCCACTTCTTTTGTAATTTGTAGATGAGGCTCGTGGTAAATGATAGCCTTATGAAAATCGCCTAAACTATGATAGGCATTGCCAAGACTTCCATAAGCCCGTCCTTCTCCAGCTTTGTCTCCCACTGCTTTTGCAATTTGTAGATGACGCTCTTGGTAACTGATAGCCTTATGAAAATCGCCTAACATCTGATAGGCATTGCCAAGATTTGCATAAGCCCGTCCTTCTCCAGCTTTGTCTCCCACTTCTTTTGCAATTTGTAGATCACGCTCGTGGTAACTGATAGCCTTATGAAAATCGCCTAACATCTGATAGGCATTGCCAAGATTTGCATAAGCCCGTCCTTCTCCAGATTTGTCTCCCACTTCTTTTGCAATTTGTAGATGACGCTCGTGGTAACTGATAGCCTTATGAAAATCGCCTAAGCCGTAATAGGCATTGCCAAGATTTCCATAAGCCCGTCCTTCTCCAGCTTTGTCTCCCACTTCTTTTGCAATTTGTAGACGACACTCGTGGTAAGTGATAGCCTTATGAAAATCGCCTAACATCTGATAGGCATTGCCAAGATTTCCATAAGCCCATCCTTCTCCAACTTTGTCTCCCACTTCTTTTGTAATTTGTAGATGACGCTCGTGGTAAGTGATAGCCTTATGAAAATCGCCTAAGCTATCATAGGCATTGCCAAGATTTCCATAAGCCCGTCCTTCTCCAGCTTTGTCTCCCACTTCTTTTGCAATTTGTAGCTGACGCTCTTGGTAACTGATAGCCTTATGAAAATCGCCTAAGCTACCATAGGCATTGCCAAGATTTCCATAAGCCCGTCCTTCTCCAGCTTTGTCTCCCCCTTTTTTTGCAATTTGTAGATCACGCTCGTGGTAACTGATAGCCTTATGAAAATCGCCTAAGCCATGATAGGCAAAAAAAAAAGAAAAAGAAAAGAAAACCAGCCTTTGGGTGATGCCTTATCATCGGCCGTTAAGCCTTCTACACAGGAGATTGATATTGAACTAATGTAATGAAAGAGGAGCAAGCCTGTTTTGTAGTATTGTTGAGTATGGAAGATGTGAACAATTTGAAATGAACACTCAGAATGCTTTGAAATGAATACTTTGAAATTTGCTTCTTAGTTTTTACAATTTTTTATGTTATGCATAACATTTTCACATTTCTGGTATAAGGCTTTTTTTTAACACAGAATACAAGTTACTGTTGATGGCATTTTCTAAACTTTCCGAAAAAAAAAAGAATTAGGTCACAAATTTATATCTATTCAAATGTCATTACAGTTGTCACTGGCAGTTAGTTTGGTTACAAGTTAGAAAGCCTTTCGAGAGGAATGTAAAATATGCAAGTTTCATGACTACAAACTCTAAATTAAAATTTTATCCGCTGATCTCTAATATCACTAAGACTTTAAGTAGTAAGTGTGAAAACTCGGGGTAAAAGGTGACATGTCGCTTTTACTACCATTACGTGTCTTCTAGGAGATCAATGCCTGAATTTTAAATTGCACTAAATACTACATTGATTTCAGTGGACTACTTACACCACCAAATAAATGCATCTACAAAAGTGAAAATGGTTCGATGATAAATCAGTGAAAATAACAGCATCCATCAAGATTACATCAAAATTCAGGAGTCATACTTGAAGTTATCATTAAGGGTCAATTATACTGGTGACAGCCGTTAAAAAATGTCATTAATTTCATTTTATACCTCCAGACAAATCGTGAAGCATGAAAATTTTCATCCTCTCTTAGTGTTCAGTGCAATTTTGAAACTATTGAAAAAAATTATTACCATTTCATTATACAAGCTTCGAACACAGCAGCATAACTTCAGTCTTATTCACTGGTTGATCTTCACAATGTTTTATGTTGTAATTAACACAGCGTCTGCATTAAACTTTCCTATGTGAGGGAGGGATAACAATGATCATGTACAAGTACTTCCATTATCATCAAAGGAAATATCAAAATAATTTTGATTAGACGCTGATAAATGTTAAATTCAATATTGAAACTTTCAATGATCGTCACAGTTTTCAGAAAATGCTTAATTCCACTGTTTCCATCGTCAGAGAGAGGGTCAATCCTATTGTGTAATTACTGTAAGCTGACTGTGTGACCCTGGCACAATAAACATTGTTTTCTGTTTCAATATCAGTCATTATCAAAGTCAACCATCATAATCAATTCCAAATGTCTGCCAATTTGTGCATTAGCCCCACATTTTAGACTGCCTGTAACATGAAAGTGCAGCGCTTGTTATCTGACAGCTTGCTATTTTTAAAAGAACCCATTTTAGCAAGTTATCCATTTCTAGGTTTGCAACATTAGACAAGCCGTTCTTGTGTAGTAAACCTAGAAAACATAGTAAGCGGTCAGATAACAGGCGATGCACTGTGGAAGTAAAGTGAGGTATTTTTATTGAGAATTTGACTGTATTTTTTTATTCCCAACAGCGGTCGTAAATATTCCCATATAAACTCTTATAATTTCGCCATGGCTGCTATTTCGCAAGATGATCAACTCACAGCTGGAGCTTGGGCTGCCTGTGGTTGGAGATTTCAAGGCATGTTCCTATACTTATCCAGTTTAAACTAGTCTCACGCAGTTGCTCGATCATTTCCTTTGTAATAATGTACGCCGGTCTCCCTCCTGAACTTGCAGAGAATGCCAATGGAATTTTTTCCTATCTCTGCCCACGGGCCACGGTAACGCTTTCGTGAGTCGCCAAGTACATCCCAACTTTCGTTGCCATTTTTCATAGACGTATCTCGTTTTTCCGGCTGGGCAGTATTTTTAAGCAAACACGTCGGTCATTAACTCAAGCCGATGAATAACTTATTAATCCTCTCTTTTCTCTCACTCAAATCCCTTTGGTTGACAGAAAAATATTGGTTTCAGAATGAATTTGTATGAACAATAGTGTCATTACGTTGGTTGACAAGCGGCCTAAAACCCGTCTGCAATTAATTTTA